ATAAAATTATTTGTAATAAATTGGTCTTTTTTTTTTTATCCTGGCAGATTTACCATATTGTAAATAACCACAAATTACAATAATCAACTACAGAATTATAATACGACTATAATTTATAACAAAAACAACTATAAAAACACCTCAATCCAACTATAAATTTTAGCAACCAACTGCAGCCAACTACAAGCTACAATTTATACTAATCCACTACAATTTACCGAAAACAACTACAAATTCATCAAAATCAACTACAAAATCATCGAAGCCAACTACAATATTATCAAAATGTACTACATAAATAGCAAAATCAACTACAAAATCACCGAAATCAACTACTAATTATCGAAATCAACTACAAAAGAATCAATTATCTTGTACCGCGCGACTAAATCGTAAGAAAATGGCTGTAACCAATACCAAATCCTAGCATCGTCGTGTCAAAACCATCGACGCCACCAAAACCTCGATAGAGACAAATACCAAACTCGAGAGCCACCAGTCGCATTGTACTACCGAAGCCGCGGATATCTGGATCACACCATCACATTATTGCCGGAATAGATCAACGTCTTACCGAAAAACATTGTGGCTTGAAGTAAAAGAAGATCACCCATGGAAAAGCACCTTTGTGGAAAAAGCTCAGGTGGTTTTCGTCGCTGGAGATTTTATCAGTCCCGCAAGCCGTAGCCGTCAATCTAACGCAGCAGATGATTAGTTTTGTGATTTCCGCCGCTGATCTAAGATACACGATGGGCTAAGAGAAAACATGAGAGAGAAGGACGTATGAGAGAAAAAGAAAGTTCTGAAGAGTGTGAGAAAGAAAATTAGTGGAATCATGAAAAGATATAGTGTTTGTATATAATATGAAAATATATTGGATAAATTACCAGATAATATATTATATTTAATTAAAATATAAAATCAAGGGTCCTGCTAGGATGGAAAAAGAAATGGGCTTCCAAAAAACCAAATTTATTTTGAAGGGTGCGTCCTAATGAAGCCTTATTTCAAATGTGTAATTCTTCTTAACTCCCACTATTATAATGGACGACAGAAAAATAATAGAAGGGTAGATTCCACTTTACCCCGCGTACTCTTCCCGAGAGTCACTTAACCCTCTCGTACTCTCAATTTTCTCGATGTACCCTCCTGTACTCGTACAATTTCCCAATACGGTCCTCTCCGTCAACTTTTTTCAATTTTGAGTATGACGCCGCTTGGTCAACTCTGTGAATTACAAAATGACCACTGCCTACACATCGTTTCTTCTCCGCCGACATTATGGTTTCTTCTTCTTCTACCACTCCCCCTTACTAGATATCCCCGCCTTC